GGTTAGCCTCTTCTTCTGTGTAACAAGTGACAGGACAAGAAGTGGTGGCTTTAAATTGCTCCAGAGGATATTCAGGTTGGATGTTAGGAAAAATGTTTCTGAAAGTGTGGTCAGGCATTGGAATGGGCTGCCTGAGGTGGTTGAGTCACCATCCCTGGAAACATGCAAGAAATGCTCTGGTGTTGTACTAAGGGATGTGGTTTAATGGGGAAGTACTGTTGACAAGTGTATGTTTGGACTGGATGATCTTGGAAGTCTTCACCAACCTTAGTGATTCTATGATTCCATGACTGCTAGTATTGGTGTTACCTCACACTGCTGAATATCAGAGACCAGCTGTTTTTTTTTTTTGGGGGGGAAGGGTGTCAGTACTCAGAGGTTCCCTACTGTTACGGAAGTGCTGATTTGAGGAGCTGGGGAACTGTTTCTGAGCTGCAGCTTACTTGAATAAAGGTTTTAAGTTTTCTATAGGGGCACTTCTGCATTGCTGAAAAACACTGTGTTAGGCTGTGCAAGACTGCAAAGAATATATATTTATAAAATTTAGGCCAAATCCTGAGGTTAGGATCTTCAGCTGCTTTTAGCTTCAAATAGAAATGGGAACTTCAACTTAGTCTTTGCACACTTCAGTGTTTCTCGCTCAGCTGCTTGTGAGAGTTTAGATGTAATTTTGCCTTGGGCATGGAGCCAGCCTCTGCAACACTGAGAGAAGTGATAGTTCAGGGTTGCTCTTTTACTTCTTTTCATCACTGCTGAGTGTTGTTTTACTTTCCTCATTTCAGAAAGAAACCGATCATCCAGTGTGTGGGCTGTCATCAGCTCCCTCCCTTCCTCTCTCATTTTCTTCTGTAGTACAACCCAGGGGTGACTTCTAGTACTGCACGGTTTCCATACCCTGGTGTTCTGCCCCCTTGCCTGCAGTGCATGCCATGAATCCCCCTCAGCAGACACACTACTGCACAGGGTGCAACTGCTAAGGCAGCAGCTGTGCTTAAATAGAGATCTAGCAATCTGCTGCGTACAAGTAGACGTTTCAGCTTATTGGATAAAGTTGCAAAACCCATGACATCTAGCATCTTGCTTGAAGCAATGACCCATACTTGATGTTTCAAATGAAGCTGAAAGTACCTAACAGTGTAACTTGGGAATTGGATGTGGCAGAAGAAAAAGATTTAGTTTACCTTTTCTGCTGGCCTATGAAACGAAAGCACAGTTACTTCTTTAACAGGCTGTAGAGGCATCAGTCCCTTCTGTGTCTGTAGTGGAACTGCAGAACAATTCAGGTCTAGGAAAAAACATGGTCAGAGAGAGTATATGTGCAATTCAGACTTGCTGGAAAATGTCTTTTCTATCTTTCTATCTAAATCTACAGGCAGGTTAGAATTGCCTTGGCCAAGATACCAAAACTTATTGAATTACATGCTGTTCAAACTAGCACAGTGTGCTGTTAACATTGTTTCATTATGTTTTATTACTGATTGCAGGATCGCTGGTATGGAACACAGTGTGTTCAGATAAAGCTCCTCTGAAGCACCAATTTGTTGAAACAGTGGAACCGATAGTGATGTACCGATTAAGATAGCTTTAATGGGTTATAAAAGCACTGTCCATCCTACAGATGGTCTTAGAATACTGATTGTGGTTTGCATGTTCTAGTCATCATGCAATTTTAAAAATAATTATATTTGTTGTTATTGCCTGTGATATTTTTTCTTAAACTGTTTGCTAGTGATAATAAGACTAAAATGTTCTCTACGGTGAATTTCATTTGATTTACAGAATCTCAGAAGGACCAAAATCACAGGTCAGAAAGAGATTTGAATTTTTGATCATGCAGTGGTTCAGAATGTTTCAATGCATGCTGAATCTCAGCCCCAGTAATCTGTTCATTTTTGATAGGCTACTGGATGCCATTTCAAATGAAAGGTAAAATCTAGAACCTCTATTACCTTGTGGACATAGAGATACCAATGGTGTAGCAAGGACTAAAAACAAGCAAGCTCTCAGGTCTTCATTGGAGAAAGATTTTCTGATTCATTTGTTGTTGGATTTATTATTATAATTATGAAGATCTTTATTTCTTTGTTGGTAGACTCATTTTCCAACTCTGTTCTGCCCAAAGGATGAACTAGGACTCAAAAATTTCATCCGCTAATGTAACGAAAACATTGAGCTAGCTTGAAAAATGTGGATTTTTCAATCACATGGGAACATATATTTGTCAATTCCACAAGATGCACTTGGAGGAGATTTTGATTGATTCTGGGGACTGGAATGGAAATCTCTCATTTGTGTCTGGCTAAATACAGACACCACTAATTAGGAGAATGCTCTTTTGGTTCATTGTGCAGATATTAGCTTCATTTCAGTGGCGGCAAAATCTTGGATCCTTGATTTAAAAATAGGTATTGCAGACATTCCATGGAGGAAAACTCTTTGAAATATCTCCTTGGGTACATGTAGTTCCCTGCATTTGTGCTTAACAGTAGAGCGTAATTAGATTTCAAATTAATGTATCATGTGACTACCCTCAAACAAGACTAGGTTACGGTGAGTTAATTTCCTCTTTTGAGACCTTAATTCTACATTCTACTTCTATTTTAAGCATATGTGTTTGAGATATATGTATGACTCGTATGTTTATACGTATGTGTATTCACATCTCAACTAATAGAATAGATAGTTAGTTGACCTCATGTCCTTGGCAAGATGAAATAGCATTTGTAAATGTCATTATTTGTTTGAAACAAACATCCAAAGGGCTGGTCCTGGCAGCTTTAAGGCATGATTGTTCTATGAAATAGAAAATGTTAACAAAGACACTCATCTTCCCATTTCGTTACCTCTCCCCAGAAGCAGTTGTTTCTTTTGCATGGAACACTATTCAAGTTGTTGAATTCTAGTCTCCCAGGACTCTCTCAAAGGATTGGTAATGATTTCAGACCCTCTGTGTAAATTTCTGTTGCACAAGATAATTTTGTGCTTTCTCAGCTCCATCATTTTTCATGTTTCTGCAGCACTAGTAAGAATTAAAAAGCAAAAAGACCAAATTAGAAACAGAGGAAATCATAATACGATTTATTCTATTCTAACTTAGAAATAGGTGCTCTATATGTTCTTCACCTAAACTCAATGTAAGGTGGCTTTGAAAACTCCATGAAAATTACAACAGATTATGCAATAAGTCACAAAAAGTAACTGTATCATATCTTCAAAACTAGGTAAATACCTTGTTCCTGCTTTAGGAATGGAAGATTTGATCATGATGAAGTATGCTGGCCTCAGTCCTTTCCATCACCAAAAATCTATGTGTAATCTTATGTGTGATGATACATGAGAAAATATATGTGAGTGGGAGAGAGTCTGGATATAACTCTTAACAGAGATTAGAAGGATAGGGATCTTGTAGAAACTGAATAGGACTGAATTTCTATGAAACTGTTATGAAAATAAAGTGTCCTTCTAATGGTTTTACTGGGAAAATCATTTCTTCTATAGAACCTAATTAAAAATTATTTCTTTTAGATAGTTGTTTGGAGTTATCTTGTAGGATGTTTAAAATTCCCTCATAAGGCCTATAGGAATAAAATTCTTTAGATTTCTGTCCCCAGGCTGTGCAAAAAGTATTTCTAGGCTTCTGAAGAGTTTATTATCATCAAAGCCACTGTGTACATTTCAATGCATTGCATAACAGGCTATTGTTTAGTAAACTCTATTGGCAGAGTTTCTGGAGTAGGAGAGGAGATGAATTAAAAATAATAATAAAAAACAAAAATCAACAATAAAATTATATACTAAGAAGACAACTTAAGAAGAAAATATGGCTTCTAATTCAATTAAAATTAATTTTCTACAGCAAACCCTATGTATTTTATCATTGTCTTCAACTTAAATTACAGACATATCAGGTGATCAAAGGAATAATCAACAGCAAATAAGTGTTTCTATTTCATTCATAATTACAAAAGGGCATTTTACAAGTTTAGTTTGCAGGGGTGCAACCTTTTTATTTATTGCTTTTTCATACCACATGAGTCAGTGGCTCTAGTGAACCAGATATGGCTGTAGCGATTAACTGAGATTAGTTTTTTTGGTTTTTTTTTTTTTCAATCTCACTCTGACCCTTTAGAAAAAAAGACTATGTAGCTCTATGATCTTGAGACAGGAAGCTACTTTGCTGATTTTCAAGATCAAATCAGCATCAGATCTGGCTGCGTAATATCCCCCAGCCTCTTTCAGCAGCAGGATGTAAGTTTATAACCTTTAGTATTGCAACAAAACTTCTGCTACGTGTATTGCAGGAATAACTTGGTCAGTTGTGCTATAGGAATATCTTCTTCATGTAAGAGCTGAAGCTAATCACAAATGCAGCGTATACCATTCAGGTTCCCTGGAGATGGAAATAGGGTAAATAAAATCATAGAGTCTTACAATCATAAAATTATAGAATCATAGATTCACAGAATGTCTTGGATTAGAAGGGATGTTTAAGATCATCTAGTTTCAACTCTCTTTCCTTGAGCAGGGTTGCCCCCACCAGATCAGACTGCCCAGGGCCCCATTCAACATGGCTTTGAATGCCTCCAGGGTTCGGGCATCCACAGCTTCTTTGGACAACCTGAAATAAATAACAGTTTACAGGACAACCTGTAAACTGCTACAGAAGACAAGTTTTAATTCTAGTTGGACATACAAATTCACTGCTGTGTCCAGCTTGCAGAAAGTGTATGATGATGTTTTAATTTTATTGGGAAGACGTATTTTATATGTACAATCTTAGTTATAAGTACAAACTTGAGTTATATTTCATTTGTCCTGAAAGTGCTTGTCCTCCAATCACCTGGATGAGAAGCAGAGACTACAAGGTGACTTGGCTGACCAGTCATTCACTTCATACTGTATTTTGAAGATCAGGGTCATACTTGTTTTGAGCAAGAGAAGAGAAACCTGTTTATTTGATTAATGCTAACCTACATGCCTTTTCCTGTCCCTCGTTATAGCCATACTGCATCTGCATCACAACACCAGCAGTTCATATGGCATCATTATATATTGGTTGAAAACACTGAGTGAAGCATTAGGAATATGGGAATGATCTTGGCTCACAGGTCAGTATGTGAGGTACCTATTTTATATTTTCAGTCTCTAATTCACTCCTGTACCACCATTGCCCTGAGTTCTAAAGAATTCTAAGATCTATATATGTGTTACCTAGACTATGCTTTTAGATTTCCTTTTAGTTACTGGTGAATGTATAAGTTTATTATGTTCTTTGTCTGAAAAGATGGACTTTTAGCATCCATTTCTCCTGAATTTATCCAAAACTTGGAAATTTAATTAGGGGTCAAATTCTCCTGCCATCAGAAATACTTTCCCGTAATAATTTAGTCAGAGATACTTCAGTACACTTTCACTTCAGATGTTAGCTATAGATCTATTCTATAGTTTAACAGTGTATATTTGGTTTGAAAAAAAAACAAACACCATTTTAACATAAAATTAAAAAAAAAAAAAAAGTGAAGTTACATGTACTTTTTGCTCTTTTTCACTGAACCTTATCTGAACAGTATAAATTTTAATTTTTATTACTGTTGGATAATCACACACATCAATTTTGGTTTTAAAATTCTTTTTCTTATTATGTTTAGTTACAAAAACAGTCGGGCTATAGCATCGACATCATTTTTATACAGTTTTTCTCTACTTTCATGAGGCCCTCATGATTGTATCAAAGCTCAGTCTTAAAGCAAAGTCCTCATGACATAGAGTAAGTAATTAAAGCTTTCATTTGTCATAAGTCTTTTTGATGTTTGATGAGGAAAAAATGAAACAAACCTTTCATCTAATATTATACAGTTGTCCACAGCGTTGCTCAAGTAATAATGTATAGGTATGCATGAGTGTTCCTTATGTTTCTATATGCTATGCTTAAGCACTGCAAAGCTACATACAGTGCTGATCTTTTTTCATAGCATGTTCAACTCTACAAAACAAAAAAGGAGGTCATTAACAGCATTAAGGTTGGAGGCAGCCTGGGCTGCAATGACCGTGCCCTGGTGAAGTTCGTGACCTCACAGAATCACAGAATAGCCAGCGTTGGCAGGGACCTTAAGAATCATGAATCTTCAACCCCTGTGCCACATGCAACCCGGGCCATTTTGTGATTCTGTGAAAGCTGATTGTTAGCATTGCTGAGATACAACAGGTACAAATAATGCATGTAGTCAAGTATACAGCAAAAAAAGAAATCTCTGAAAGAATGATTTGTTCGGGCAAAGGCCATTTACTACAGCAAGCTCCCATTTTATATACATCTTGGAAAATAAATTTCAGACCTTCAGTCACCTTTAGAGTAATTCTGAAGTGCAGTTTCTTTACAAAGCCTTTTTAAAATTTCCAAATTTTGTAAACAGCTGCTTTTAATAGCAGAATAATAACAATAATAAAATCTATTAGCTTTTATTTGGCTTTGTATCAGTAAGAAAGTAATCAAATGTCAAACAGTACAGATGCTGTTTTCTAATACAGTCCTGATAGTTTTATACACTTGGTTCTAACTCAGCTGGAGTATGACCAGGCCTCATTTAGATAATATATTCAAGATAATGGAAGCCTATGATCTTCTCCAGTATTCTTTGTTAACTTGTGTTTAAGATTCATCTGTATATTTAAACAGAAAGGCTCTATTTTGGCTTATTACATAAGAGAATGGGCTATTTGTAAGCGGTATGGCATTTGGCCAAAGGGACAAATGACAAGCAACAATGTAATAGAAATATGAAGAAGCAATCATCCCAATTTCCCTTCTGAAATGCTTTTAATCCTTTCATTGGTAAATGACACAAGTTATCCTTGAGTGAACTGACCAGACAAATAGGGAAGATAAAGTGATTCATTTATTTTCTACAGTTCAAAACAATTGAACATTTAGTACCTGATTGTGAAAGGAAGCTTAAGGCAGAGTTAATATTACCTAGACGACAATATTTTTCATATAATAAAAAAAAAAAAAAAAAAAAAAAAAATAGGCTTGAACTTTGAATATTGATCCTGAATTTATTAGTTCTTTATGGTATGTCTTTGGCAGATCATAATTCATCACCAAAGGAGTAAAAAAAAAAATTGGAACTTTAATACCATGCGCTATTTAATATCTTTATTCAAGAGAAAATACTGTCATGGTTATCAAGCATTGAATTGCTCAGAGCTGTCATCTATGCCTCATAGAAACATCCTTTTGTTGATATTTTGTAGCACAAACCCAGTAGTCACTCTAAACAACAGAGACATAAAAAGTTGTAAAAAGTTGTGTATATGTATTTGCCATGCTGTTAAAAAATTTTGAGAAATAATTAGTTGGATATTTTTATATGAATATAATTAATGTGTATGAATCTGTACAATATGAATATGTAGATTCATATTTACATGAATATAAAGAATAAACAGTACATATTTAAAAATTAATCTTTTTTTGAGACAAGTATTTCATTAACTGTGAAGAAAGATATGTGGTTATCCTTTTTTACTGTTTAAGTCAATTAATCCTCAGTTGTCTGTTACCAGCACTTGGATAGAAATTCAAGATGAGGAGTTTGATAAGCTAAATGGATGCAGTGAGACAGATCTTGTACCAGTGAAGGTATACTGAATTATATAAGCTGGGGATGTGGTCTGTAAATTTGATTTTTGACAGCAGATAGAAAATCCTGACTGTGTTGTAATACTACAGGCAATCTTCATGCTGTGTTTGTAAGATGGAAGGTCTTCACAAGGCCTCTTCCTGGGACAGTTCATATAAGAATCTGTGAGAAAGGACAGAGGGAATGCCCAAACTAATTAGTAGTGATCCCTTTGGAGTCTGTGTCCACCTATAAAACTGATGTCCAAGGTATATAAAGTGAAATTAAGAGAAAGCTATAAATTAAGTCAGCTATTATTTTTTGTAGATTGTGTGAGGATTATAGCGAATCTGTGTTCAAAATCCTTGAATCAATAATACGAAAACCAGAATTTCATGAAGAGGACTGTAGTAGCGTCATACTTTCTGGTGTACTGTCTGCTGTGACTGTGTTGTCTGGTCAGCTGTCTTTAATGAAGTTATTTTTCTCACTCCCCAGTATGTTCTTACTTTGCCTTTCAGTAAAAATTGGGAGATAAGAATAGTGAAGTGCAATTGAATTTAGTCTAGTAAGTGCCTTTCTTACTCGTAAGTACTGCTTGTTAAATTTCATTTTGAAAAATGAAGCTGTATTTAGTGTAAATGTGAAGGATCCTAGTGAGAAGAAAAGCACCCCAAACCATTAAAAGAAAAAAAAAAAATCTGCTCTTTTTGCTGCTGTATAATTTTAAAGTTATTTAGCAATTTGTACTATATTTAAGGAAAAAAAGATTGCTGACAACTTGGGCACCAGAATGAAAGTAAAATGAAAATTTTTAAAGGAGGATCTTATACCCTTTAAGAAGGAAAAATAAAATTTGCAAGTTCCTAGCAGACCCTTAATTAAATTGGAATGTTGCTATGCTACCTTAATACATTAGGGAGAAACTCTTAAGGTTGTCTGCTGACTGCAGTATACTGCAGGTTACATTGTTAAGCTTCTTTGTGGAACAGAAGCAAGCTCTACCTCCGTAAATAACTTTAATGAGTGGTGGTAGGATACAGCTTTGCTCTCTTGTACTTGTTGCCTACATAGAGGACTTTATTCCCCAGTACTTGCCACTATCTGCAGTCTAAACAGCAGATATCATATTTTTATAATTCTCGCTGAATGATGGCTACTCTCTTGCAGCATTTGCCTCCACTTTTAAGAAGAGAGAAGATAATTAATGGCTCTTTCCTTAGAAATCTGTCATGTCCTGGCTTACTCAAGACAGATGTCAAGAATGAGAGATTTTCTATCGCATCCTTCTGCAAGTACTGTTAGACAGATTGTCAGTATGCATAAGTTTCTGTTGACTGAAGGTCACAGAATGGTGGTCTCCTCACAATGGATACCCAGCTTTCTGGCTGAGCTGAAAAAAAGGTCCACTGCATCTATTGAGCGAAATGGAGAGCTTCAAGAAGCTGTTGTAAGAATTCCATAAAAGCAGATTGTTCTTCCAAGCTAATCCTACAGCAGTTCTCTGGTACTGTACTAACACAAATGTTCCTCTTTAGTATGATACAAGCAAATGAGTCAAACCGTCTTTCCAAAAAACAGTTTCTAAAGCAGTTGGAAAGTTTACCATAGTACAGTAGTAGGTCAAATTTGAACACATATATAGTTTGCATTGTGCTTTCAGTCTGAATTGAAGGCAGCAATCTTCACATGGTATACTGCAAAAAAGTCTCTATATCCAGAAATAGCTGAATTTAAGTGAAGAATAAGGTAATTCTGATATACTACATATGTTATCTGTCAGTTTAGAACTTAAAGCTCACAAGCAAACTTCTAGATAAGAGTATTAATGTAGTATAAGTATAGATACTTCTAGATAAAAGTACAACTGTAGTATAAACGTAAGCCATTGCCGTCTATTAGTCACTGTAAAGCCTCCTAAATTTAATGTACACCAGACATAACATGTTATAAATGCTGAAGATAAGGACCTCTCTTGATTCATCACAGGCAATGCTTGCTGTTTTCAGTTCACAGCTACCATTGCTACTCCGTTTTTTATGGTGGGAAGGAACAAAAAGAAATGAAAGGAAATGACTACTTCAAAAAAAAAGGAAAAGGCTTTTGTTGTTGTTTTGGTGGTGTGTTTTGTGGTTTTGATTGCTTGTTTTAAAGAATTAAAACTGAATCCAGTCTTCACCATACTTTCAGCATTTCAGCAATTGGAAAGCAGATCATCTTCATTGTGCACTAAAAAAACCCCACATTTCTCTTATTTTTATCTTTTGATGCCTGTTTTATAAAAGCTACATTTTCTTAACAATTAGCTGTCTAAAGCTCCTGATATTCCTCACAAGTAAATGGATTGTTTAGAGGAGAAGGTTCATAACTTCATCTAGACTAAAAATAATTCTGGTTTTGTTGAATTGAATGGAATAATGCCAATTGAATGGAGAACTAGAATATATTCAGTCAATTTCTGTAGAATTACATAGAAAAATATTGCA